AGAGAGAGAGAGAAGGGAGTTGGGATCAACGGTATCACAGGAAAGCCGCAGCAGCCGTTCGCATCAATCAAAGTGCAGGAATCAGCAGCCACGTGCCGATGTGACCGAACCTCCCGTTGCCTCTCCCAATTCCAAATCGGCACACAGGTATCCATTCTCCATATAGTATGACCATCGAGCCTGCTATATAGTATATGACTCGCCAAGTCTAAGCTTTGAGACGCAGAAAGAGTTACGTGCTCGTCCACACGAAGACCAGAAAAAGGCCTTGATTGAACTATAAGTCGACTTCTGCTTTCGACTGTAACTTAACACGCGCTTGTCTGCCATGCATCCACTGTGGATGGTCACGTCATAGGCGTATTGCAAGATACATGCTCGATCCAATAGATGGCGTTGGCTCTGCCGCGCATTTGGAGCACTAATGCACGTAAGCTATACGTATCTCATGATCGAAAAGGAGATGGCCAGTCCAATAATTTTGTGTTCCACAGGGTTGCGGATGAGCTGTTCAAGAATTATGAGAGAGAGAGAGAGAGAGAGAGAGAGGATATGTGCAGGCTAGTTATAGATGTGAATGATGTCTTGGCCACGAGCACTGTTGGCGTGCTCCCTCCCTCGTTGCTTTGTCGCAAAATTAATGTGCCTCTCACATGGTGCTGCTGTGCCTCTTCTCCTTTCCGAGCTCTACTTTCTTCCTCAACCTCAACCTCTTACGAGCTTCAGCTTATCCACACCAGAACTCGAAGCTTTTACCTCAACTTGCTGCTAAGGCTGCCATTAAGGCAGCGAGATGAGACCGGATGGGCATAAACATTTTGCTCGAGCATAAAAAAAAACGTCTGATATGATCCTCATCATTAAACCTCAGGAATTAGCAGTGGCAAGGAGCCACGATGCTTAGATCACTCCGAAAGGTTTTCGAGGCGAGAGATGGCATATCACCCTCGATGCCCTTTCAGGATCGATGCAGGTATATAATTATCGATCATCAAAACCCATTCTGTGGCCTTATATTCCCCACATTATTAGGGACAAAAGGGAAGTAAAGAGGCAACGCAGAGGAAAGCAGCACTTGTTGTGAGGTTTACGTGGACCGATGATACACCAAGTTGCAATTTTTACCCGTCGCCCACGTCGCAGCGTTCAGGGAGCGAGAGCTTCAACATTGGTAGAAAGAGCGGGGCCCATGACGAGATTGGCCAGTCTTCGCAGGTCTTTGTCTTGTCCGGCGCATGCAGGGAAAGGGAGGAAGCCAAATCCAATTATTTCTGTGCCTGCCTGCCTGCCTCTCTGGCCCACAAATCTATTGATGCCGTGGCCAAAACCAGAGCAGCTGGTGAGGAGCAACATGGAGATAGATTGTAATACCCCTGATTAGTCCTATATCGAGAGTAGACAGGATTAAGATTGACTTATAAGAGTCTGATGAGTGCACTATGTTAGGGTTTGATCTGGGTTATATTGGGATTTGACGAGGATATCGAAAGTGAGCATTTGGGTATGGTAAGGGAGCTCGAGTAGGAAAGAGCCTTTGAGTGGCCAATTAACCCATCAGGCCCGAGTCATTATATAGATGTTTGAAGGCAGAACCGTGGAGATGCTCAACATTTCTTTGGATCCCATTTGTACTTTGGAGATGGATTTCAAAACATATCTACTCCTCAAAACTAAATATATTTATTATCATATAATTATTGACAAAAAATAATATTTGGTTTAAGTATAAAAAAAATCATGACTATATAAGAGTCTCTTTTATGTATATGCTAGGTTTTATCATTATCATTGGAGTGACCATTATAATCGTTGAGATCATCATCATCAGATTCATTATTAGAGCAAATTAGATCCAAATAAATTAATCTTCTTATTCATCACAGTCACGATTGGCTGTGATGAGTATTTCTACATAGTTTTCAGTCCTAATAATAAAGAATAGCATCATCATGCTATTAATATATTTGATATATTTTACGATATGACAGTGGTTACCTAAGTCACATGATTCAAACCAATGACTCAAACCTCATACGATCATACCATATAAGATGGAAAGAATTAGGTACTATTTATGTTAGAAATATTAGATTGAACCATTCTCCACCTCATAAAATGTTAACTTGACTAATTTGATTCAGACTCATCGATATTTAATTCTTGACAATACATGACACCGAATTCAAAAGGCTGACGTAAGTGTGATAAATAAACACTTCATATTTTATATCTTTCAAAATTTAATTTTCTTCAATTAAGGTCAACTACCAAACATCTTTGCACCAATAATCCACTCACCAAGCAATAACACCATTACCATTCCGTAAGCAATATAGTTGAGCCAAATTAACATTACGGGGAATGTAATTAGTTTTATGGTCCAAAGATACTTAACCATGTTTTTAATGATTCCTGTGATGTTTCTGTACGATCCCCACTCCAAATCATCCAACCACTATACATGTATAGCAATTCCATAGCTACCGCAGGCTGAGCAGGAGGCTATACTCACTGTCTCTCCAAATCTTCCGGTGCCTCTCCTTGTGCTCGCCGCGTCGTTGACCTCTCTCGACTCAACATCCTCCTCACTGATGCACCCAGCCGCGACGACACCGAGCCCGCCTCCTTCGACCCCGGCGTCCCTTCCTGCGCACTCGTCGCAGCTCCCGACGACTCCCTCACCAGCGTTGCCGTGACCGGTGGCGGCTCGACCATCGCGCGGCAGACCGGGCACGTCACGTGGGAAGCCAGCCACATGTCGATGCATCCCACGTGGAACAGGTGCTTGCAGTCGGGCAGCAGCCTGACCATCTCGCCTTCCTCCGCCGCGCCCAAGCACACAGCGCAATCCGCGGCGCTGCCTTCCTCCTCGCTGCCGCTCCTCCTTCGGAACGGAAAGGCCGGCAGGGCGGCGATCGCGGAGGGGTCGAGCCCCACGGCGGGCGGAGGATCGTCTGCATCGGTGATGGCGGCACGGTCGCGGAGACGGTCGATGGCGGTGAGGCGGCGGCGGATGACGTGGCGAAGGTAAAGGTGGAGGAAGACGATGACGGCCACGGCCAATGCCAGCAAAACAAGGGCGGTCGAGAGGATGGCGGTGCTGATGCTGTAGCTGTCCTGTAGCGGGTAGTCCGGCGGCATCCACCTGCCGGCCGGTGGGACGTAAGACATGGGCGGCTTGGCTCGGGGAGGGTTTGGTGGTTGCCTTGTGAGCGTGGAGGTCCGTCCGACTACTCCCTTCTCCGCTACTGCTATTTCTTCCGGAGGAGGACAGAAGAGATGTGTTGAGCAGGAGACTTCAAATGCAGAGGATGATGTTATCACCATTGACCGAGGGATTGGGTAGCAGACAAGTCATCTTCGTTGTGGCTTTGGGTTGCTTGGAGGTCATTGCGAAGATAGTTCATGAGAGACCGAAATGTGTGAAAGGGAGAATTGGGAGAACGACAAGTGAATCGGTATATTAGACTTTTGAGTGTCGGAAACGTTTGTGCTGACATATATGAATGAGATTTTCTTGTTTGATGAGATGACTTTTCAAAAAGGACTAAAGCAGTGGTTTGAATCTAATATCATTTTACGTTATATATCTTATATTTACTTGTGAATGTTAGATTAAATTTTGGTTTTGGTTTTGTTTTTTATTAGAGACGTGGCCAAAGCTGACACATGAACAACACCTCGACATGGCTGACACCTCAACTCTTTGTGTCTTATATATGATCATCGTATCGATATATTGACAATTGAGTCATTACAAATGATATCGATTGAGTTAACGGGATATTATTATATCCTAAATTTGAGGTGACATAACTATGGTTAAGCTCGAAAGAAATGTGTACTCACTTCTCATAATAAGCTTCGATTATATGAGTAATGGCTCTGAGAGCCTATTATAAAATGACTCACTAAGTACATTTCTAGATATTAATTTAATATTATTCAAAACAGTAACTAAATCATTCAAACATAAAACTAATCGAGAATTATTGAAAATACTTTGGATGTAGTTTTATATAATTCAACATTTCCAAAGTCATGATAGACGAACTCGTGCTAGACTATATAAGGGGGACGATGGACTAGATGTGCTGGATGAACTGGATATACTATTAGGTCAACAATGGATCGAAGAGGTATAAACTTGACATGCCGAATGAACTAGATGTCACACTTCAGACCTCTCTCGCGAGAGCCCCGAAGCACGCCGGGAGGTGGGGGGTGTAAATGATAGTGGGTACATCATTAGCTAATCGTCATCTGACATATAACTGTCACATGGTATCCAGAGAAGAAGGAAAAGATGAAGGTCACCCTCTACCTATCTGCCCTTATGAACAAAGTCCAAGGTAGCTGATTATGGATTGCCCCTCTTTTGTCACTCATATGAACAAGAGACCAAGGGGAGGCTTTTAGAGTTGGTTAGATATTACCTCTTCATAAAATATTATATGAAATATTTTGCCCCTTTACGATTAGGTATAAAAGCTCATCTTCAGCACAATGAAATTGGAGGTTACCTTTTTTGACCACTCACATCCATACTTATACACTTCGGGTTATTAACTTAGGTGTTGGAGCGATCAAGTCGGGAAACCTTGATATTCATGCATGTGGCACCTTACACAACTTTGCGCATATGGGTCAGGCCACATCGAACTAATTAGGGTGTTATTGACTTAATACCTTATTTTTGGCTTTAGAAGGAGGGCCCAATATTATAGGAACAATCGTGCGTTGACCCTTTTAATGAACACTCGAGCGAAGAAGCTTTGCCCTTGACCCATAGTACATTCACTCAAGAGGGGGTAACAGCTACCCTTTCTACACATTGGCATATCTACCTCTATGCTGACACTAATACGATACTGGTGTCTATTCAACGACCTGAGTGTTTTACCCTCAAGGATGGCCTTAAGCCACTTGCTCGTTCCTACCAATGTATTATTAAATCTCACTCAACAAGTATAGATGTTAACAGGCATAATACAAGCTATTATTCCACTTTTATTGTAGTTAACCTAGCAAGTAGTGTCATAACCTCAATTGTCATCACCGAGTCCACCTCAATCGACACTAGCACCTGTCGATGTTTCCCGACATGATGTGGTGCCAACATCCCAAGAGCGCCTGTGACTCGTCGAACCGTCGATCGAGGGGGCACTTCGATCCTCAATCATGAAATTCAGTGAACCACACCATCACTCTACCATGCCTAAATTCGAGGCCCAATCGATAGAGTCGATAGAGGATTCCATGTGAATCTAACTATGACAAACAGATTGATGTTTGGAGGAGATACGATGAGAGTTCCAACAATCAAAATGAGAAGCATTGATCAACCCCACCTTAGGTCATTCGTCATTCACTCAAAAAATCTAGGATGAATTGATTCTAGTAAACTTTTGCCTCCCATATTTAGAGGCATTCGATGGTAGTGTCAACTTGACATAGCACATTAAAGCTTTTTTATGCCCAAATGTCATTTTATGATACTTTAGATGCCATGATGTGCTGCACCTTTCTAACCACGTTATGAGACCCAACACGAGAATGACATACCTGCCTAAAACTAATTTCCATCAATTTCTTTGCCCATCTCACAAAGGAGTTCGAACTTTACTTTCTCGAGAACGTATGGCCATAGCCATCAACGGTAATGCTCCTCAGACTCAAGTAGTGGGAGGAAGGAATACTCATAAATTTCATCACTTAGTTCACGAGCATGATTTGAAGTATGCTAGGTGCTCATCAATTACCCTTAATATAAGCCTTCATGATATGGCTAAAACCCTTTTACTTCTTTTGGTTATTGATAGAGAGATCATCGTCAACTGTACCAAAGACACTTCAAAGGGCCAATCAATATGTCACTGCTAAGGTAATGGTCTTCGACAAGCATGAAGAGTGATGCAGAAGGTCGAAGCATGAGTTACTACAATCAGCCTTGGCCCTAAGGTCACTACGACGAAGGAAAAATGAACAACCCGAGTTATATCACCTAAGGTTCGAATTGACCTCCCTAAATATTACTAGAATTGAAGTTTTTATACTGATAAAAGATAATGAGCATTTAAAAGACCATCACCCGATGAACACCCCATTGGCAAAAAGAGAGAAGTTTAAATACTACTGATTCTACTGGGATTACGACTATGACACGGAGAATTGTCGTGACTTGAAAGAGCAAATTGAAAAACTCATTCATCGAGAACACGATGGGCAGTTCGTTTAAAAGCATTAAGAACTCTCACCCTGACGTCTACGACTAGTGGAGAGGCAGGTTGACATCATTATTGGTAGACTTATCTTAGGGGGAGATAGCTCATTGGATAGCAAGGTTTATACTTGAGCTACTATTAAAAAGTGTATGAGGACAGAGAACGACCTAAAGATAACATTAAAGGAGGAAGAAACAGAGTACCTCGACCTGAATCATGATGATTCCTTGATAGTTTCTATGTGGATGATCAATGCTTGGGTGAAAAGGGTCATAATTAACATAAATAGATCTGTTGATATCTTCTACTTTGATGCTTTCCATAAACTCATATTATTAACTAACGATCTACCCTTATAACTTCTTTACTAATAAGATTCGCTAGTGACTCTATCTTGCTTCTTAGGATCATGAACCTGTACGTCATATTCAGAGACGTAGATTGCTCCAAAATAATACTGACTAAATTAATAGTGGAGGATATCCCCTTAGTATATAATGCGATTTTAGGCTGACCCATATTGAATAGACGGAGGGTGATGGTGTTGACCTACCACATAGTGATGAAGTTCCTGATGAGGACCAACATAGGAGAGCTAAGAAGCAACCCGATGGAGTCGCGTTAGTGCTACATGATAGCGATCTCTCTATCGAAGAGAGCTCGACCTATGGCGCCACCTCTAGACCCCCAAGACTTCAAGTCTGTCCTATGTCTTGAGCTGATAGAACCACTAATTGAAGCACACATAGACAAGACTTGGTACTTCGAAAAGTTAAAGTCAACAACTCAACTAGATCCCGGGATAAGCTAACATGAAAATGGGAAGGGGATATTGAGTCATTAAGGTCGTCCGAGATGAAATCTATCACCTCAAGATAATATAAGAGGTGGTTCCTTCAAGGACAGAACACATTACAAATTTAAAGAGGGTTCTACCCCTAAGGTGCTAGGGGTTAGGTCGGGGTGACTATTCGTCAAGCCTTGGTCTACCATGTCTTTGGTGCTAGTTGTAATATATATATATATATATATATATATATATATATATATATATATATATATATATATATATATATATATTACAACTAAGACCTTGACCTACGGAGGAAGAGATTGGTCGGATGGACAAGTTTGACAACACAATAATGAAAAGACATAAGGACTAAGTTGGGTAGGTAGACTCGATAACTTAGTAAAGGCTAACATCTTACAAGATAAGACAAGGATCGCCTCCTCCCGAAACATTACAACTTACTCAATGAGCTCAAAATTGTATACCCTCATCGAACCCAACTCTCGGTGAGGCATCACTCGGCCTCTACCTTAGCAACAAGTGCTAGGTCTTCCTTTTTCTTCTTCAGCCCCTCCATCTTCTTGAGGAGATTGTTGATCATGAGAGACTGCTAATAAATGACAAAGTTAATGTTTCGTACATAGTTAAGAAGGGCTGTGATGTAATGGTAATACTAAAAGTTAAAGATAAAGGAACACCTCGAAGAGTGCAAAACTAACTGATGTGAAAAGACCACTATGAAAAGCATGAAAGAGACCCACCACAACGGATGACATAAGACAAAATATGCTAAAGACACGTGAGTTGGAAAAACCTAATCTACGTAATAAGAAACCCATTGCGGTGGGATGCACGAGACAAAATATGCATAAGATGTGTAAGTCAAGAAAACTTAAGTCACATAATAAGAAACCCACTATGATGGAGGAACAAGAGAAAATATACTCGAGGTGCATGGGTCGAAAAAATCTGACCCAAATAAGAAAAAACCTACCATGGCTAGAGGTATAAGAAGAAATATGCTTATGGCACGTGAGTCGCGAAAACCCAACCCGCATAATAAGAAACTTATTATGATGAGAGGCACAAGACAAAATGTGCTTAAGGCACGTGAGTTAGGAAAACTCGATCCATATAAAAAGAAACTTGCCATAGTGGGAGGCATTAGACAAAATATGCTTGAGGTATATGAGTTTGAAAAACTTAATCCGCGTAATAAGAAACCCACCACAGGAAGACACACAAGATAAATTATGCCTGAGACACATGAGTTGGAAAAACCCAACCCACGTAATTAAAAACCCAACATGACAAGAGACATAAGAAAAAATGTGCTTAAGGCACAAGTTTTTCACTAAAAAATGTGCTTAACCCACGTAATTAAAAATCCCTCGCCCACAACCCCCCCCCCCTCTTACCAAAGATAAGAATGTCGAGAAACTCGACCCCTGCCTTTACCCGAGTCATGGAGGTCTGAAAAATTGACTAGGTCAAGGGAGGCAATCCTGGATGGACCTATTGGATGAACTCATGTCAGATGATATGAGAGGTACGATGGACTAGATGTGTTGTACAAACTCATGTCGTATAAACTAGACGTGCCACCAGGTTAGCAATGGTCTAAAGAGACATAAGCTTGACGTGTCTAATGAACTAAACACCACACTTTGGACCTCTCTTGCGAAAGCTCTGAAGTACACCTTGGAGGGTGATAAATGATAATGAGTATATTGTCACTTAATCGGCATCCGATATATAAATGTCACGTGGTGTCTAAAGTGGAAGGAGAAGACAGAGGTCACCCTCCACCACCTGCCTACATTGACAATGGTCCATTATATATTGTTATGGGTTACCTCTTTCATATACATCTAACTTGGGTGTCAGAGGGATCGGATTAGGAAATCGCTCTCGACCTCAGTCTTCATGCATGTGACAACTTGAAAACTCGACATTTCTATCTCAGAAACATTGTGGACAACCTTGTGCATACAGGTATGAACCACATCAAGTTATTGAAGATGTCATCAACTTCTTCTGTTAACATACTCAATATTAAATTAACAAATTAGTTTTCTCTTCCAAAATGATTGAAGATAATTTGGTATGATTGGAATAACAACCGGAGACTTCCAGACACGAAGCAACACGCAAAAAAGCAGGGTGACACGGAAAGATGTCCACGAAATAAGCATCATTCGTCCACCTTCACGGTGTTCCTTTCAGAGAGAGAATACACATGACTACCTTACTCTTTTTCTTCTTCTTTTTGCTCCACTGCTCAAACTGGACACTGGCCTGCAAGAGAGACAGTTGAGATATAGGCTGGCAATCTAATCTCCACTCATCAAGGAAAAAGACTTGCACCATGGATCTTGAAATAGAACCGGGACCTGCAATCGTGGAACACAACACATTATTGTAATCTTCTTGGTTGTCTAAGGAAGCCCCAGCATCAAGACAGAAGTCCCATGCCGACTCTCATTCATGCACATTGCGAAGGACATCGAACAGAGACCACCCTGCTCCGATTATGTCAGTAGCTTACTGAATCTATGTTCTAGTCTCTTGTGGACATGAAAGAATGAAGAACAAGCAGAAGAACTGGATTTGGCTGGCCAGCAATTAGACATACATCAAAACCACATTCATGTTTTCACCATTAGAAGAAACGTCAAAAGTCTAGTGTTGCATTTGCGTCGTCTCTCTCTCGCAGTTTGTATTCTTGGGGAGAAGCAGAGTGTATGGTGGCAATTCCGTTGTGCTGCTCTTCCCCCTGAATTCGTGTTGGAATGTGGAATCCTGAGAAACCACCGTAGCTTTCCGACACGAACGCGTCTGCCACGGTTGACACCAATGACGGATGCAGCGCCGTAGGATTCCTCCAAGCGCGAAACGAAGGGAAATTACTGGACTGAAGGGGTTCCCTCTGAGTGCATATCTGGAATTGGCTGTTGACGAGATGCAGCACGGCCGATTGCGGTGGCAGCGCCGCACTGTGCATGAACTCTCCGCCGCTGCCGGCGCTCGTGTTGCCCGCATTCCACCAAACCATCGTCTCCTTGTTCACAGGACAAGTTACCGAGGTGGCGCCTTGAGCCAAACTGGTTGTGACAGACCGAAAGGACTGCTGGGTGGAATCAGGACTCCGGTGGTGTTCCTCAAAGATGGGTTCGTGGAAGGATTGTAGAGAGAGGCGGAGGTCCTGAGGCCAGCCGCCTGTGTGCAGGGGCAGGTCAGGCGTGTCATCGCGGTACGTCATCGCGTGGGCTGAAGGGGATGACGCAGCGGCTGTGGCACCGGGGAAAGTCCTGATAGTATCGTCGATGGTTTTGCTGTCGAACGAAGAAGGGAAACCGTAGCCCAGCGGCGCAACCGTTTTGGCGTCGGATAAGGACTGCTCGATCGAATTGTGGCCGTCGGAGGCCGCTTGCATGGGTTGCTCATTGACTTCAATGCATTCGTAGGCCGGGGCGTGGTGGCGGGGGAGCTCCGCGAGCTGCTCTATGGCGGCCTTGGCGTTCTGGATGAGCCAGTCAACGGCCTTGCTGGGGCGGTCGTAGCCGAGGCGGTCCTGGACGTCGTAGAACTGGATGGCGGTGTGCGCCGAGAGGCGGACGCGGCGGTCCCTCAGGCCCTTGGCGGTGTACACCTTGCTGTGCCGGTCCTTCCGACCGGTGGACCGCACAATGTGGCCCCCAGGGACCTCCACAATCTCCCCGGCGAGCTCTGGCCGCCATCGCCGCCGGTTGTAGTGGCGGCGGTTGCTTTCCTCCATCCTATGTGAGCATAGACTCAGATAGAGTCAAAGAAGCAGCGGCAGCTCTGGTTTGGCGTCTGCTATATAAGTGATACAGTTGCTACCACTACGCTTCTTCTTCCTCCTCACTACGTCCTCTTTGGATCTTCTCTTTCTTCAACTCCAGGAATCGTTTTCCTGCAAAGAGCAACAGCAGAGAGCAAAATATATAGCAAGAGATGCAGCATATTCAACATCAAGAAACCATAACAAGGCAAGAGCTAATGTGAAACGTGAGACACACCTACAGAACCGTACACAAAATGGAAGAAATGGAGAAGGAGGTGAAGGTGGGAAGAAGCAACTAGGTGAGGGGGGTGGCGCTGGCAGAGGAGTCAGACACCAAGGACGGTATCAGCTTAGCCGCCACCTCGAAACACTCCAATAAATGCAGAGCCCCCAGACGCAGGCCACCCCAACTGAGGAGAAAGAAAACTCCCTCCCCCTCTTCGTCATCCTTTGCCTTGGTCTCCGGATCAGGACAAGAACTCCTCCACTCCAATCTTTTGGTCATTTCATTCCATTATTGCGGCTGCCTCCGTCAAAAGCAAAGATCCCCTCTTGCAAATTCGCTTCCCGCATCCCTTTCATCCTAATCACCACAATACACACACCATTCAACTAATTCCACTTCACCGCAGCTTCGACCTTTACCGTCAAAAGGGCAAATAAGTGAATCTCTGTTTCCAGGCTCAAAGTTCGAAGCACAAAGCACGTAGGTGTAACCTCGGTTCACCGTAACCAGTGTGACATGATCTATGGAAGTATATATACCTTACCCATTTCCTTAAATAATGCAGAGTAAGGAGCGGAGGCCTTACCAATCTCGTGAATCTGTACTTCGCTGCTTGCACCGAATTAACCACAGCCAAGCCTTTGGGAGTAGGAGATAGATGCAATGCGAGACGCGTTATAGCTGTGCGAGTCGCTCGGCGACGACGAACGCATGCCTTAACGGTGGTGGGACTGGTGCAGGCCATGATTATTGCGAAGAGAGGAAAAAGTAAGGTAGGAGACAAGAGAGAGGATATCTCCACGAGGGTTATGATCTCCACCGAAGTTGACGTGCATGAGACAAAGTGGGACAAATGGGTGGCGTTGAAGCGATCTCATGCCCGCCTCCGCCGTCTGACCGAGGACACGCCCGCCATGGGCATAGAGCTACTACGAGATGCACTGCACTTGTAACATCACTCTTTAAATGTCGATGAATGAGCTTGCCCACAAAGTTGACTGACGTTGACTGCAGACGATACATTGCATCTCCAAGTGTCATGGGGACCACTTACAATTAAGCCTCCACAGATTGTGATCGGATCGAAAACCGAAGCGATCGGATTCGCATCAGATGGCTGAGAACTCATAGAAATGTGAACCGGGTCAGGTGGTTGGGTTGGTCGAGATCTGTTGACAGCCCAAGTACGGCACGAACGGGTCGATATCGGGTCGGGTTCAGGTTCGTTTCCTAAGTTGTAGGTAGTCCAATAGGAGGCACGATTGATGGCAGGAAATGTTAGAAAGTGTTAGTGCTGTTTTCCGGTTAAGTGATGATCGACACCGGAGCCGAATGAATCGATGATGTCGTGGCAAAGCCTTAAACTAATGCAGGATTGAATGGATAGGCGAATTCTTATCGAACCGATGACCTCCGAAAGACCTAAGTGGACACGCCAAGCTGCGTTATGAAATGCCCCGTAAGCTGACCACCCAACATCGGTGGATGAACCATCACCGCCCACTCGCCATTGTCAACGGTGGCCACCGTCGACGCAACACTCCCGAGGTCAAACATCGATGGATACGGGATATCAGTACATGGAGTGGGCCGAGGGGAAAGATTAGGCGTATGTTTGGCCTTCCATCGTCTTGGAAATTAAGCCGCAGAGCTTCTTCGCCATGGGGATCGCTTTGGTTCTCGCTGATCATGGTCGCCGGTGGCCTGAAGCTCGCGCCGCCAATAAGCTCCCATCAGCTTGTACTCGAGAACGAGGAAGCTGGGCTGCTGCTCGTTGGCTCGTTGAAAAAGCTCAGAAGAGCAGGCTATGGAGATTAAAGCAAGCATGTACTATTGCTTCCACCATGATCAACAAAGATATATGTATATATGAACGAACAGCACTATGGTTTGATCGACACATTTATTATTGACGTAATCCGCAGAAAAGATGGAACCGGAAGGCAAAAAGTCAACGAAACATTGGTTGATGATACATATAATCTGCAAATGCAGTGGTCCGAGGTGCACTCTTCTCGTGCAAAGGTAGGTTAGTGTTGTCTTGTGTGCATTGTGAGAATCGACAACTCGACCTTTTCTCTCTATTTGTGAGAATCGACACTTTTCTGGTTATGTTTGTGTGCACATATATATATATATATATATATATATATATATATATATATATATATATATATATATATATATATAGGACGGGCTTTAAAATGTGGCTAAAGAAAGTGGTTTTTCTTTTATGTGAGTGCTTTGCTGGAGCAGTGGCTATATAAACGAAACGCCCGGGCAAAAGCAGTGATCACAGGATAAGGAGGCCTTCATGAGGAGATTCAACACAAGGCTCGGTCTCCTTTTCTGTTTGGCATTGATGTTGTCCTCGCTTGGGACGTCCGAGTCATGGTTGCTGCTCCATGGACACCAGTCAAGGAGCCATCATGGTGTTGGGAGCTCCAACGCAGGGAAGAAGGCGGAATCAGCGAGACGGGAGACGGCCCAGTTTGTTTACGAGCGACAAAGGCGTAGCCCTGGCAGACCGGACCCTATGCATCATTTCTAATCTATGGATATCTAATAATTATGTCAAGATTGTTATGTCAATGTTTGTGTCGTACCGTATGCCAAGTTGATATGAAATAGTTAAGTTTGCTCTTTTTGCACAAATATCAAGCAAATCTCTGAAAACGAACAGTGACGAGTTAGATATATGACATATCCATGTTTCTCCAAAACTATGTGCTTATACTTCTGGATTCGAATCGACCATTATATTTAGGTCATCGATTAAGTGAAAGATATATTCAGATTTGGCGAGCCATACCATTGCAAGCACCACAAGCAAAAATGGAGCCTTCGTGTAATAAGAAAAGAGATGTAGACCTCTATTTTCGTCGGAGCCAAGAAAGTCAAGAAACTCGACCCACATATTCACTAAAGATGGGGAGGTCAAGAAACCCGACTACCACCATTGCCCTGCAGAGAGATCGAGAAATTAGACCCCCACTTCATTGAGGTGTAGAGGTCGATAAGCCTGACCCTTGCCTTCACCCAAGGCGTGAAGGTTCGACCCTGCCTTCGTTCAAGGCATAGAAGTCAGGAAACCTGACTCCTACCTTTGCCCAAGGCGTGGAAGTCGAGAAATATGTAATGTCTAGGATAGAATGAGAAGATGAAGACTACCCTCCTCCCGTGAGGAGGAATCTAAGATAGATGGCTATAGGCTGCGTCACCCCCTCCTAGTCATCCACGTGGACAAGTAGTTAAGGGGGAGGCTGTCTCTTCATAGAATATTTAACGAAATATTCTACTCCTTTATGATCATGTATAAAAACTCATTTACAAAACAATAAAAAAAGAATTATCTTTTCTGACTACTCGTGTCCATGCTTATATACCTGAGATTATTAACTTTAACGTTGGAGGGACTAAGTCGAGAAATCTCTCTCGATCCCAGTTTTTATGTTGGTGGCACCTTGAGAACTCGATATTTTCACCTCGAATAATCTTACGCATACGAGTCTAAACTACGTCAAATTGATCAGAATATAAATAAGTTCTTCCTTCAACATCTAGGTGTATATATATATATATATATACACCCAAGGGTAGTTGGATGGAGATCTAGTACCCAACATAGCAATATCTATTATGGTTAAGTTGACAATGAGCATCTATAAATAAGAGAGAACCAAAGGGTCATAGGCTAGACCTCTTTTGGCTGCTACCTCTTATTCTCCTCTCCCCCTCTCCTCCTCAACCAGCAACCTCTATTTGGGGCCTGTGGATAGGAAGAAAGGCTGGCCTCTTCTTGATTGCGTAATGCGCACAGTGAGGAGATTTGAGCAATAATTTGAAGAGCGTCTTTATAGTCCCTACCGTGTGGATCACTACTAGTGAGAAGGATAATTGATCTCATTCATCCTCTCTCATAGATCTATGGGAATTCAGAAATATACGATCTCTCTAGATAACATAATTTTCTTATACGCGTAGTTTTCGGTTTCGCAGGTTTTTGGGTACTAATCTTTGCACAATGATGAAACCTTCTTTTTTGCAAGAAATTCTATGATTTTTATTTTTTGTTCTTCCGCTGTTCATGTGATGTCGCCCCAAAATTCCGAACATGAGGTATTCTTCATACATTGGTCACTTGTGTGCTTTCAGAGATAGTGTTCACACATTGGTCACTTTTGCGCTTTCTTAAGTGCCCCCTTTATCTTTGACTTATAGAATCACAATTACATCATGGCACTTATTGATTATGTACAGGACATTGACTCTATTATTTATTAATAGTCCCTCATGATTAATAATCTTTATGAGGAGGTAGAGGGGTGGAAGAGGAAAAAAGGAAATCGATCGCTTATCACCGAGACAGAGTCTCAAGAAGTCAAACTTGTAAGGCAACTAGAAGAGGCCAAGCGATGCCTCATCAAGAGCTAGGTTCGATGAGGGCATATAGCTCTGAGCTTATTAAGCAAATTATGAGGTTTTGGGAGGAGGGAATCATTGTCTTGTCTTGTGAGGTGTTGGTCTTTATTGAGTCGTCAAGTTTGTCTACCCGATTTAATTATTATGTTTGTTAGTTACAGGTGCCCTATAAGTCAATCATATGAATTGATGACGCATGTGACATACTGTATAGTATTTTCTGTTATTATTGTTATTATGATATTTTTTCACTTTATATTGCTTACTTGATATATCGTGATGTCCTTGGATCTGTACAATGAGAATTGGATCATGATGAAATCATGATAATGAGACCAATTTACCTATAAACATATATTCTAAATATTTTTTATCATAAGTTACTCGAGAGGGACATCAAGATGATCGGAGAGACCGGTATACTATATACCCGTCCATATGATGGAGGCAATTGGTCTCATAGCTACTTGTGTGGGGACACTGAGGATATAGTATATGTGCTTATTAGAGAATGAGTTCACTAAATGATTTGCTCATGGAACCCTGGATGGTTAATGATATCTCATCGTCAAATAGTAGTTCTGTAGTCCGAGTTGTATATCTGGTCCTTAGACTTAAGATACTAAAAATACCCTATATGAATACTCTACTCTTTGATATCATACTTATAAGTCTAGAAGTTTTAAATCTAACACAACTAGTTATCAGAAGTGGTAGTCAACTTTTTGAGGACAATTGAGTATCAATAGAGG